ACTAATTCTTATAACCATACAATAATTTTATCTAAATAATAATAAACATAAATTAAGAATAATTATTTTTTTATATCAATTAATAATAAAAAAAATAGATATACTTTTAACATGTAACATAAAAATACAAATTAAAAAGATCCTTAATTAATTATTAATTGTATCAACATAACACCCGGTTACCCCGTAAAAATTATCCGGGGACAAAACTACCAAACAATCATAACAGTTGGGATAGGAATGTTGGGTCGGTCTTCCTTGGACTTGGAATAGGATTGCTTTTCTTTCTTTCTTTTCTTTTTCTTCTCCTCCCCTTTTTTTTGGATGGGACGGTCACTTTCCATTCTGCCAACGAAGCCATGCTCATTTTCCTGGCTAGGCATGAGCCCTACCCAACCTCAAGAAAATGAGAAATGAAAAGATTTAAGAGCAAGGTTGTAAATAATAATAATAATAACAAAACAAAACAAAAACAAGAGCCCTACCATAAATTTATTGATAGAGTAAGAAAAAAGTCTTAAAATTAAGGTTAAAAGAAAAAACACCCTACCTTTGATTTCTCCCTGGTTTTACCCTTGAAGATGTGGGTTAATTTGTAGAGAATCCAATTTATTAGTATGCATGAATTAGATGATAAAAAACCATTCATCTTAAAATAAGATAAAGGGTTGTCATTTGATATTTATATAACAAAAGGTTAGTTACAATAAATCCAAACTGACAGAAAACATAAATGGCTGAAAGACCATAAATGATTGATAGGTTTTAATAAGGATACCAGACATAATAAATACTTTAATATTTATAAAATTTCACAGCAAAAATTTTGCATTAATATTTATAAAATCCCAACTTATCAATGGTATCCTTTAGGGGCAAACTTACATTACAAAGAGGTTAAGCACAGATTTATCCCTTCCCTAAAAAATTTTCATAATTTTAAAGTCTTGTAATTGTACGTCTTACTCATTAAAATAAAAAATAATACATAAGATCTTTTATGTTTATATGTGATATTGTATGTATTAACTGATTTAATAACATGTAATAATTATAAACTTACAATTCTATGTGATACTATAACTATAACATTACATAATTTTATGTACTAGTTTTTGCAACGTATTGTAGTAAAGACTAATGAAAAAACCAAGTTGGAGAACATCTACTCTTCTCCTGTTGGGCGAATGTTTCACTGTTGTAAGTTCTCTTCTTCTCCTCCTCTCCTCTCCTAGTCCACTCTCTTCCTTTGAAAAAATCCTAACAAAAATCCATTATGTAGAACAAAATAATGCCACAACAATGTAAATTTTTGTTGTGCTTCAATTAGGGGTCTCATCCAAGCAAAACTGCAAGGATCTACAAATGTTTGGTTGAATGATGAAAAAGTAAAACCAACTCATCTACCAACTAATAATCTTGTAGATGTTAAAATCCAGCCAGTTTGTGCGGTTTGAGAAATAGTAAAGTCTGAATCTCATGAAGCCATTCCAATTTCATAATGGAACAAAAGCAAGTGAAGTTTTGTTCTCTTCTTCATAGGAAGACACGATTTCTCCGAATCTTTCAAAACAAAACTTACATAGTCATAATGCAAGACATGTGGGTTAACTTTTACAAAATTCAATTTTACTAGCATGTACGAATTAGATGGTAAACAACCATTCTTCTCAACATGAGATGAAAGTGTGCCATTTTGATATCTATATAACAAAAGATCAGCCGTAATAAATTCAAACTAACAAAACACAAATAAGTGAAAAATTACAGATAAGTAATTGGTTTTAATAAGGATATTGGATACAAACATAGATTGAAAAAGAAAATGACATAGGACTATAAAAACTTTCACATGTATCCAAGTACTTATGATTTAAACTAGTGTCTAAGATTTTCATCCTAGTTGTTGATGAGGTGTTGTTCTAGACACTTTGATCCAAGATATGACATCTACAATTGTGCCATTTAAAACAACTAATATCCACCAATCTAGAGGTTTAAATTCAATTATGGTGGATAGTAGTAACAGATTTTTGGGAAAGGATGTACGTAACCGAACCCACCAAAGCACATAACAGGTTAACATAACTAGCCACTGTCTGTAATACAAGTGAGGTTCCAAGCCGACCAACACCACAATGCTGTGTGTGGCAATAGATAGTAAAGACAAAATCACACCGACGATTCCTTTAGTATTTGTGAAGGGCAATGATAGATCCTTGGCAGAAAAGCACCATAACCAAAAACAAAAAACCAAAAAACTAATTACTACAAATAACCAATCTTTATAGTTTGCTACGGGAGATGTGATAAGAGCAAACTCGAATATGCCTTGTGCAATATTTACAATAGTCAAAATCATATTGTTAACTGCTTTAGTATTTGTAGAGAGCAATGAGCTTCCTTCAGGAATGGGATAGAACTTATAGAACTGGAGATTCCAAAACACAGCATTGATATAATTGGGCCAAGTAGATTTGACAACAGAAAATGCAAAGATGGTTGATGCAGTATATACGATAGCTGATGAAAGAATCAAAAATATGCTACTACTTTCAGCCGCGGTGGTATTTGTAGGGGTCAATGACTGATCTTGTTCCAAATCCAACCAGTACTCATCTAACCAATTCTTGAAGCAGAACAACACAAAACAAATGGAAGCAATTATCCACGTTGGAAACTTTAAGTCGTAGCAGTTGTAAGTAATGGATCCAATAACTCCAATGATAAAACTAAACAACCCAAGGTCTGTTCGCGGTTGTAATACCACCAATACGCATAAAAAAAAAACTGCGATGCACAACATAGCACTCAGGCTCCTCAAGGAATTATTGTAAAAATTTGCAAAAAGAAGTGCTATAATAAATAAGCTGAAGTTTGATGTTAAATTAGCCGTGCAACCACACCTTCCATGGAGAATTTTGAATTGACTCCAAAGCTTTGAATGTTTTAGTAGTTCAATGCCAATGACTGCCAATAATCTCGTTTTGGTCCCTATTTTATAATATTTTGAACTAAACCTTTTATCTTGCAAAAGAAATGTTGCGGAGTACAAGGCAATTTTACCAATAAGTTTGGCCTTTGGTTGTCCCTTTTTTGCTTCCTTGACAAGATGAATCTGGAGGGCCTCTGATAGATTTTTCATCTTCTCAATAATCGGATCCACTAGAGCTCTCATTGTTGATTGGCAATACATCTTGAGAGCTTTCCATTGATGGCTCGTCTCCTCTTCAATCCAATTTTGCAGAAAAATTACATGGATGATAAAACTGGTCACTGTCAATAGCGGATGAAACTTGACAACCATCCTCACACTCTTCACAATCTGTGGTAGTGCAGTTGAATCTCTCATATCTTCTGCGGGAAAGAAGAGAAAGAACTGGCTGCGCTGGTGGTTTGTTAAGATGAATTTATCATTCATGCTCTTGGCGTATAAATTGATTTATTCATCACCTGTCCGGACCAGCGATGAAGCCAAAAATAAGTCGTACGTCGTTGATACTAATATGTTGAAAACAAAAAAGACAAAGAATTAATTAA